CACATTCGTGACAACAAGCAGTTCTTCTGGAAAAGGACATCAGTCCTGAATCCATTTAATAACAGCATTCACCAAATAAAAAAAAGAAGATGCAGTGAAGTATAGAAAGAAGGGTATTTACTGCACATGTCAGTATTTACCCCACATCTCAATTGAGTATCAATGCGCATATGTCTTTGAGGTATACAAATAATTTATCTTCCATTTTATATAAATATATGAGCATTTGCCATAACAACCTCCACTGATAAAGCCTAGAATTATATCACACTTAACTTTACAACCACCTTCCATATGTTTAAATAATACATATGTCCTGTTTAAATATCAACCACTCCCTATCACCTCCAGGAAAACATTCACAAATGTTAGGCTCTCATGGTGTGTAGTCCTTGCCTGTCTTCCTAACCCCATCTCTGTCCTATTAACCACAGGACAGAGAACTCTAGCTATGCTGGGCCTCTCCAGTTCCTTCAAATCTCACTCCTATCCCAGGAATTTGTTGATTTTTTTCCTGTCCTGAGAACTTTGATTCCATATACATCATTCCTGCCACACATAACCTTCAGGTGTCATCTCCAATATGAACATTTCAGAGCCCTTGGCCGCCCATTCAGAATCTTTATCCCTAAGTTAGAAAAGTAGTCTAGGGTCTTTCCTCCTTTATACCAAAGTATTCATAAGGATTGCATGGAACTTTAATAAAAATCCATAACAGCAAAACAAATCATTGAAACAATCTTTGGAATGAAAGAGTGACCGGTGATAGCAAAAGGAAAGTGAGAAGATTGGAGATTGGTGGGGAATGGGGAAGTTTGAGGTGATAAGGAGCTAGGAAAGATCCTGCCTCTTGAATATTTTGGGCAAGGGTAAACTAAAACACACGAAGAGGCTAGATTGAGATAGGTGCAAAGGAGACCTCCCCCAGCCACACACAAATGGGAGGCAGTAGCTGCTGGAATGGCTCAAGCGGTAGAGTGCCTGCTTAGCAAGTGTGAGACTCTGAGTTCAAACCCCAATACTACCAAAAGAAACAAAGAATTTTAAAAACTCAAATGGAGGCAGTGGGCTAGAACTGTAACCCAGCATCATGGGATATAACCTCATGGTATTAAATACAAAGAAAATACTATTTCATAGAATGTCTCAGGCCAAAGCAGCTAGAGTGCAGTTTGGATCCCATCTGTCAGAATGTCTGTTGATATAGGTCCATCTTTTAGACAGTTATGAAATAATACATCTATTGTCACATCTTATTTTAGTAAATCATTTCTCATAGTGAACACTGAGGTTTTCATGCTTTTTTGCTGTGTGTAATCATTGCATATGCCTCCATGGTTTCCTCAGGCCAGATTTGAGCAGCACAATAAGTAGATCACAGCTATTACTGAATTACTTTTCAAGGAGCTTGGGCCAACTTATTCTATCATCAGCAATGTTTAAGATTATTTTCACTGTCATTCTTCAACACATTATTTTTTTGATTTTCTAGTTAGATGAGGAAATGTATGTTTACCTTAAATTTATGATTGAAGCAAACTGTTTCATTAAGTCTATTTGTAGGTCACATAACAGTGATGTTATTTTTAATACCCCTAAACCTCAAAATCCTTAATTTCATCTCTTTACTTTTCTATTTCTCCTATGCTATAAGTTCTAGATTCCATGATTCCAATCTAAACTTGAGGGACTTTCGGATAAATTGCTGAAAAGTTATCATTGACTTTTTTTTGGGCTGTACTGGGGTTTGAACTCAGGGTCTCATGCTTGTTATGCAAGCACTCAACCACTTGAGCCACTCTATCAGCCCTGCTCTGTGTTGGGTATTTTTGAGATAGGGTCTTTGGAACTATTTGCCTGGGACTAGCTTTGAACTGAGATCCTCCTGATCTCTGCCTCCTGAGTAGCTAAGATTATAGGAGTGAGTCACCAGTGCCTGGCATCATTTGAAATTTTGAAAAACAGCGGAGATGACCCAATTTGGGCTATAATACATATATACATGGAAGTGCCACAAGGAAACTCCCTGTGTAGCTACCTTAAACAAACAAAAATGTCATTTTTTTCTTTTACAAAATCAGAGAACAGGAGGATGGAACAGGTCCTGCCTGGGGGCTTGGTATCAGTAGGAGGGGGGAAGAGGTGGGGAAAGGGTGTAGGAGGGTGAATATATTGCAAAACTGTGTACACATGCATGTAAATGGAAAAGTGATACCTGTTGCAACTATTCCAGGAATGGTGGGAGGGGGGATAAAGGAGAGTGGTGGAGGGGGTGAATTCAAGTATAATATATTTGATACATTGTAAGAACTTTTTAAATATTACAATGCACCCCCACCCAGCAAAACAATGAAAAAAGAAGAAAATGGATATTAATTTGCTCACAATCCAATTTTGATAATGTAAGCAAATCTGTATTATATGTTTTAAGTTGTTTTCAGTGAATGGTACAAGAATTTTACCCAATACAAGGACTTTTTAGAAAGGCCCTCCCTCTGTAAGATAGCATGGGCATTTCTAAATCTTTCTCTTATTTTTAAATCGTGCTCTTTTCTTTTAAAATACCTGTTCTTTAGAGGTAGAAATAACCAATCACTTAATCACATACCTTAGTTATATCTCTAATAGTTCAACTCTTACTCATCCATATTTCAATTCCTGTTATAAAACATATAATTTGGGATTATCCACTCCTCTACCAAATGTACAGTGATTATAAACAAATTAATTTCTGAAAATCTAATTTAATGGCTAAGATAATACAAATGTAAATTAAAAAATCCTCTTTTTCCCATATTAACCTTGCCAAGTAAATAAATAATTTTGTGTTTGGTTCTGCTTAGATTCTTATGTTCAAAGGTAACAGCGACTTCCAGGGGCTTTACCTGATGTGTGAAATTTCTTATTTCAGAAGATATAAAATTTAGTGTTGAACTATTAGTAAATATAGTTTTATCATAGTTTGGATTTTTTTGTTCATATTCTTTCATGTCATCTCACATATTGAAAAATCAAATCTTATGAGACTTCCTCAAATCACTTAATATGTTTTGACACAAAGTAGGGTACTAAAAAATAAGAAAACTGATCATAACCTTATTGTATTGAAGTTAAAATTCCTTGATGCTATCATTATAAATTATGTTAAGTATTCCCATTACCATTAACATCTGCATAATTGTAGGCATAACAAACAAATGCAATGCAAGATCCTTGATTTGATCTTAAACTTAAAGAATAAAAAGATCTAACAAAGCTGAGCACTCAGAAGGCAGAGGCAGGAGGATCATGAGTTTGAGGCCAACATGGTCTATGTAGTGAGACTTTGTCTCAAAATAAAATAAAGTCCTAAAGGACATGTGAATAATGGGGTCATTTGAATGTGAGTCTTATGTTAGAGGATAGTATTGTGCTGATGTTAAATTTCTTTAGTGTCATAATTGTATTGTAATTATGTGAAAGATTACCCTTATTCTTAGGGGATAACATGTTCAAGAAATTAGGGGTGACGTGTCCTAAAGTCAGCAACATACTCTCAAATAGTACAGAAAAAGAAACTGAGAGAAGCAGACAGTGAGAGAGAAAATAAATATCGCAAAATGATAAAAAAAAAAAGCAATCTACATGATGGAAATATGGAGGGGTTGTTGTACCAATCTCTCAATTTTTAAATAGGTTTACAGCTTCAAAATAAAAATTTAGGGGAAAATAGCTTTATTTCATCAAAGAAGTTACATTTTATGCTGTGTAACATTTGTTAAGAGCCTAGAAGGTATTGGGAAAAGGAAGAGGATCAGTGAGGGGGGAGGAGTAAGAGAAGGTAATGGGGAGTAAATATTATCAAAGTACATTATATACATGTATGAGAATAATATAATGAAACCCATTATTTTGTACAATTAACTAAAAAAGAACTTAGAGGGACAATGTATTCTATATCTAAACTAATCATTTCATGTGTGATGGAAAATATTTCAGTGACTTGATACAAGAATTTTAAATATTGCTTTGCAGGGAGATAATAGAATTAGTGTACTACCTTTGTAAATATCCTAAATGTTTAACATAGACTTCAAATATTCTTCATGCCTATAAGAAGTTGCTCAGGCTCAGAAACCATTGTCTCAGGCTGGCCTATGCAAGGAACATTATAAAAATATCAATATGAATATTCTGACCAAAGCAGGTCTATTTTCAAACATGGATAGATGGCCACAAGAGAAAGAATGTTTGAGCAGGACTAAAGATAATTCAAACTCAAGTCTACCCATGCATGTCCTTTCTTGAACACCAAAACACAGGGTTTCCTTGAATCACCCAGATAATAGTTTGAAAAGCATCATCACTATAGATTGTATTCACTTTGACTATATCCTGTCACCTAGAACAAGACAAGCTCAGTGAACTGAATAATTGAGAGTGAAATCCAATTAGAATATATTGTGATTATACTTGTCTACAAACTTTAACACTATCAAAAACTGTATTGTTCCTGCAAATTCTGCTTAAGTTTTTAGAGCTTCTTTTAAAAATGCAGACGCTAAAAAGTGTAGCAATTAGTGAAAGAGGACTGAATAAATAATACAATTAAGAATTTGATCAGAGCTGGGAGTGATGGTACACACCCATAATCCCAGCACTCAAGAGGCTGTGGCAGGAGGATCTCAAGTTCAAGTCCAGCCTGGGATACATAGGAAGACCCTGACTCAACAAGTCAAAACATAAAAAGTATAATAAAACTTAAACACATTGTAGAAGTGTACAAAATGTGGACATAAGGAGGTAAGAGAAAGAAGCGTTTAGCTTAATTTCTCTGTATTGACCAACTCCACTGAATGTTTGCTTATTGCCACTCACCTCTGATTTAGTAAGCTAGAAACCATTTCAGATGTCGTAAGACTGGATCTGAGTTCTGATGGCAAAGAGCTAAGAAGGTATGAGAAGAGAACAGAGAGGAAAGGTTAACAGAATTCTAGAACCTGGTGCCTCCTTTTTCTTACCTTCACTAACCAGTCTGCTCCTTTGGTTCTGCAGAAACAGGGATTGACCAAATAGAGGTGAAGAAGCCAGCCAGCACTCTTTCCAGAAATGATCGTAAGCCCTTCGCTGATGAGACCAGGAGACTAAGCTGTTCCTTGCCTTGCCATTCTTTTTATAACTGATCCTATGGAAAAAACAGTTGTTTCACTCAAGACTAGTTTGTGCTAAAGAAGCAGTGGGAAGTCCCAGGAAATGAGGAGGTATTAACTGACAACCCACATTGAGTCACAGAATGGTGTTTCTTCCCCTTTTTCAAAAAATGAAACCTATCTATGAAACTGTCTCTTTTTAAAAAAAAGTTTATTGCTGCACACTAAAAAATATTAGAGCATATCCCTACTCTAGAGTATTATGCAATTGTTAGAGCGAGATGGATTTATATCTTAATGGTAGAAAAGGACCTCTAAGTTATGTTGTTTAGCAAGAACTTATGTTCCAACTTGTATTTTAAAGGCAATATAAGGATATGCATATGTGTATATATATGTGCATAAATACACTTGTTTATTTAATAGCATATTTCTTTTTCTATATGGATGCACCCCAAATTAGAAACAAGCAATTGTCTTTTCAGAATGCAACTACTTTTCATTCTATAGCCATTGGAAATTCCTAATATATGTATTACTTTTTCATTTTTAGAAACTAGTCATATTTAACTTTAGTTGATTTTACAGTCCATGTCTTTTCTGGAAAACAGAAAAGTCTATCTACAAATGGTTCACACTTCTTGTCCCAAAATGGAAAAATTAAGGTTTTCAAAATCATTTGACTAGTTTACCCTAACTGCTTCAAGTTAACTGACAAAGATTAACCCTGCCTAAATGATAGCCATTTCATTGTCTTTTTCTACCTAACTTAGATCAAAACTAGTTTCTAAATCCTTAATTTGTGAACATTTTCACTTAGTGAATTTGATTTTATTTTTCCTTTTTGTTGGGGAATGGACAGTACTGGGGTTTGAACTCAAGGCCTCTCACTTGCAGGTGGTCTACCACTTGAGTTGCTCCACCAGCCCTATTTTGGTTGGGTATTTTTCAAGATAGGGTTTTGACAACTATTGTCTTGGGCTGGCTTCGAACTCTGATCCTCTTGATCTCTGCCTCCTGAGTAGTTAGGATTACAGGCATGAGCCACTTGGGCCCAGCTTGATTTTTTTTTTTTTACTTTTGTTTGATGACTTAACTTAAGAAGTCATATCTTTAAAACTGTACTAGCACTTTTTATCTTTGTTAGAGTGTTCTGTGATTTTGTGTACTATGTCATGGAACATTACTTAGATACTGGAGAAAAGGCAGTTTCTGCCATATAAGTCATAATAAGCACAGTAAGTGTCTCATCTAGTTTCAAATCTGACTTGAGCTGCCACCACAAGAAACACCAGACTCATGACCCCAGAGGCAAGATCAGCTGCAATGTAATCCTATAACATCAGGTTCAGGGATGTCTTCAGGCATTGGTAGACCATCAAGGATACAGCTATGATCAAGTAGTCATAGTGCCTTTAGGGCCAAACACTGTTTTATTTAACCTTAGTGTGGGTTTAACTACAACCATGTGAATACCCTAGAGTGAATCTTACCTAACTCCAGAAACGTTCTCTGGTGCGTTCCCTAAGAACTCACCTGCAGTGCCATGAAATAACCAATGTAGAGCGATTACAGCTGCTCCAGTTTGGCTTAAGTCACATCCATTGTTTTATTCAAATACAAATTGCAGAATTTTGATTGCACTCACTCTTGATTTTGTCTCATATGTCCCTCCTTTTATGAAAATTGTTCTTTCCAGAAAGAAATTTTCTGTAATCAAAAAGTTGGAACTATGTCAACTTGGCTTACCATTTCTCGTTTGATAAAACCTGAGTATATGAAATTGGCTTCAACTGCTTTCTCTTTGCTGACTACAATAAAACAAAATTACATTCTTTTAGCTGAAACTTTATAATATGATTTTCCATCAGTCTGCTGAATGATAGGTAAAAGTTATTGCCTTGATTTCTGTTTCTCTAAATGGATATTATTCCTATTATCCAATTACCTCTGCTGGTGGAAAACATGTCCTCCAAGTAATTTCCATTATGATATCCTCCACATATAGTTCACTCTCAATCCTCAATCCTCAATCCTCACCAGGTTTGCTCCACTTGGCCACCCTGTACTAACTTCTAAGCACTCTTACTATAAAAGCACTCTAAATTCTCCCACAGTGGGTCTGTCATATCCTATTTGCCAATTTCTAGTCCCAAATAAAATATATCCATTGCCTGTCCCTAAGTAGAGAAAGTATACATATAAGTATATATCAAATATATATGTATCTGTGCACATACACACACACACACAACTGACCATTTGACAAATATATTCCATCAAACCTCAACTATCTTGTTAAATTCTTTATCTTCCTGACATATGCTTCTTGACCACTTACAATACAGTTTTATCTCTTGATACTCCAACTACTTGCCTTAACCTGCTTTCTCAGTTACCAAAGCCCCTCAATTATCTAGTTTAACAGCTTTTATCTCAGTCTGTACCCTTTGTGACTTTTCTATATTTGATACTATTTATTAACTCTTAAATAGTTTGTTTTTATATACTGTACATGATTTTTTTAAAAAAACTATAAATGGTACAAAAAGACACAGTGAAATTTAAATTTAAACATTTCTCCCTGTTTGATCTCTAGCTCTCAGTTCCCCTTCCCCACAGGCAACCATTATTGTTAGCTTCTTGCGTATCCATTCCAAACTCCAAAGATAACTCATATCCTCCTTTGCATTCTAATGGAAGGATGTTACATAAACTACTGTCCCTCTTACCTTTTTTGTAGAAAATTTTCATTGGCAGTACATGCAGACTGACCTCATCCTTTTTAACAACTACATTGACTTCCTTTTGATGGTCCAATAATTATGTATGTAACCAATACTTTATTGATGCAGCCCTTCCTTTAGGAAGGTCTTCCTGCCATCACTAGGTTGATTTTGTGTCACTGAACACTGCTTGTTATTCTCTGACCTCCCCAATTTTTCTTTTCTATTCTCTTTCAATGGTTGCCTATCAATAATCTATTTCCTAGAATTGAAGTTCCTGGTCTTTCTTTTTTTTTTAGTATCTTATTTTAGCATACTTGTCACTTGCCACACCTTCCATTACCTTCTTTGGTGGTACTAGGGTATGTACTCAGGGTTTGAACTTGCTCTAGCTAAGAAACTTTTAAAAAAATTTTTTGGTAGTACTGGGACTTGAACTTACGCCCCCCATGCTTGCTAGGCAGGTACTTTACCACTTGAGCCATGCCCCCAGTCCTCTTCCTTGGATGACCTACATATCTGTATCTCCTGTTTTGATGTTTCTGTCTTTTGATCAAAAGAATTTCATTTATAGGCACTTGACTACTTCACATAAAATGACCAGATCTCCCTTACCTTTATAGAATTATCCAGTGCTCAGTACCTTGAATTCCTTTCTAATTTCACCATATCCCTGATCTCTACAATTAATCACCAATGCCTACCAAGTCCATACAACAAACCAGAGTCATTTTCAAATGAATTTGATTTGTACCTCTAAGAAAAGTAAACCATATGACAGTACCTAATAGTATAGAAATAAACTTTGTCATAATAATGCATAAAATAATATCTCCAAAAACATAATCCTATCTTCTCCTAGTCATTCTCACAGTTTATCTTAGTAACTTTGATCATTGCTATTTCCTACAGATATAATTACAATATTCTATATAAGGTTTTAGTGCACTTCCTCTACAGAAGATTAATTTTAATTGACATTCTATAAAGTTAACATGAACATTTTAGGATTTAGGAATATGTCACATATCCCATAGAGTACAATTAATATGACATTTAAAAATCCTTAGTTATACTTCAGTAGGCTTAATTTATACCAAAGAAATCCATAAGGTAAGCTCTAGGACAGTCCTGCTTATCTTGGGGACGGGATGACAGATTATAATTGCTTTATTAAGTATAACATTCTGAATTCCTCTGAAGCTGTAATAGCTTGTTGTGCACTAGAGATTTTGTTAAGATATAATTGATTGTAATGTATACTGTTTGCTCTTGAATAACTCCCATTTTCCACCTCAGAGAGATTTTCATTTCAACATCAAATAATATGATTACTGCATTTGTAAAGTTTCTGAAGCATTTTGAAATTCTTTTAGTTGAAAAATGATTGTAAATGAAATATGGTATAAATTAAAGGGGCAAATTGAATTCAATCCCATATATTTAATTTTAAAGCTACATACAGTGCTCAGAATAGCTCATCCTTATTGGCTATTGCCCTTTAGTTGGCATCTATCAGAGGTAGCAAGGCAAGTATCTGAATGTTAAAGGATTAGCAATCCCATGAAGTATTTTGGTTTCTGCTTTCTAATTTTCATCCTTTGCCTTTACTTGACACTAGTTGCCTTAATGATCTAACAAATACCCCTAACAAATCTCTATCATTAACTCCACATTAAAGTACCCCTGGATGCTTGTTTGCTACAAGTACTTGCTTCTTGTAAGCCTATTTTGAGAAACTTCTGCCCCTCTTTTCTAGCTTTTATATGTTTCTCTGTGAGCCCCTTATCCTTCGCTCCAGTCTGATTTTCAGGTCCTGAAACTTCTGCCTCTCTTTTCTAGCTTTTATATGTTCCTCTGCAAGATAATGCCATACTTCCTCTTCCACAAATTGGTCTTAAAGAAAAAAATTGTTCTGTTCTGTAGTTACACAACTGAGGATTTCTACTTTACTGCTACTATTTACTTATTCTTTGAGGGTCTCCCAAGTGAGTATTTGCATGAACTCTACTTTGGCCTCATAATAATTTATCTCTGCTAAGACTAGGAAACAAAAGACTCAGCCAAATCAGTAGAGAATCTCAATTTTTGTGCATTGCTTTTTTATACATAACCTCAAGTCTATCATTGTCCCTTTTCATACTTTTGAAAAGGAAAAGGAAAAGGGAAGATTGAATCTGTTGATATCTGTTCTTGTTAGTGTCTTATAAAGGACAGAATTAAATGAAAAGGACACATTGAGCCAATAAGTTAAAATCGTATTTTGAGATAAGATATGCATTCCATTCTCTTTAATATACTTGCCTCTGCTTTTTTTTAAGTGGT